GGGCTATTTTTAGCTGCACACTTGAGAGGCAGCTGGCAGGGAGCCATGTCTTTGGCGTGACCATCAATTTTCACCTGCAGCCACTTCCTTTCCTCTCAGGATGAAGGTTATTCAAAGATTTGGATTTCTTCGAAATTGAGTTAAGAGAGAACAGGTCTCCACACGATGAGAGGGATTTAATCGTCAGCAAGGACACGGGGCTGGCACAGCCGTCCTCCCAGGCCTGCCGGACCCTCGGCCTCCGCAGGACGCCCAGGGCTGCGCCCACCACGCCTGCTCCACCCTGTGCCTCAGCCTCTCCCAGTCAGTCAGAGCGCTGCCCTGGGGACGGCAGCCTGTGGTCAGCGCTGGCCCCTCCGCCTGGGACACCAGGCCACGGTGCACTGAGGAAGGCGGCCCTGCCTCGGGACCAGTCCCAGGAGAGCTGACAGCTCCCTGGCGGGACGGCCTTTCCGCGCAGCACGTCAGAAACGCACATGCGATGCGGGAGGAACAGCAGGTTACTCACACCCGCCCCTTCCACCTCACCAGCGCCGCACCTCCCCCGTCTCCACACCGCCCTCAGGCCACGGTGGTGCCCCCTCCCCATCTCGGTGGGGGCTGGGAACGGGCAAAGAGCTCTGAGACGGAGCGAGCTGGACACCACACGGAGGGCCGGCCGCAGAGACGGGGCAGGGACTCGGTGCCGCCTGAGACCACAGCTTTGAGCTTTCCGAGGAAGGCATCCGTGAGGAACCCTGTTAACGAGATTAGCAGCTCAGACTCCAAGGACGGGTGTGCGAGGGGGAGAGCGCACATCTCTGGTCTCTGCCCGAGCAGCGCGGACACGAGCCGCTTCTCTCTCAGGGAACAGGCTCCTGTGGGCGACGCAGCGCCAGAGCCCAGGCCGCCAGGCGCAGGGTCACGCGGAAGGGGCCGACCTCCTCTCCCTGCACCCGAGTTCCTGTGCTTGGTGACGCCTCACCTGACCCCCGAGTCCCCCGGACACCCCATCCAGGCTCCCAGGGTCTGAGTCACTATGCTCAGAGCAGCAACCACAGGAAGCCGGAGAATCTGAGATGCGCAGCCACCAGCGGTGCAATGCGGCCGACGGCGAGTGGCACCAGAGAAGGCGTGGGAACCAGACCCTCTGCCTGGCCCCCACCTCCGCCTCCCCTGCCCACCTCCCAGGCGCAGGCAGAGGGTGCAGCTCAGTGCAGGGAGAGCCGGTGGGAAACACTCCAAGCTGGAGACTAGCCAAGAGGCCCAGACATGGAAGGTGAACCCATGTCCTCAAACCCCTGCACACATGTGTACAGACTCAAAACTGCCAGGACTTGGAAGCCACTGAGACGCCCTTCATCAGGCGACGACAAGCAAACCGGCCCCGCAGACGGCGGAACATGATGCAGCGGGAAAAAGAAATGAGCTGCCCGCCATGAAGAGACACGGAGGAACCTCGGCTGCAGGTGACTAAGTGGCGGAAGCCAGTCTGACAGGCCGCGGGCTGCGGGCTGCGGGCTGCACCTGTGTGACGCTCTGGAACAGGCAGCACGGAGGGGACAGTGACAGAGCACGGCCAACACCGCCTGTCCACGCTCGGCGCTGTGCGGAGACCCTGCATCCTGCCGGCAACGCCAGAGCCCCTCTGGGCAGGGAAGACTGAACCCGGTGAGAGAGAAGGGCCCTGCGGCCTCCTGTGTCCTCCTGGCTGGCCTGGGCACCTGGGAGAGCAGTCGGCCAGTAAGAGCAGCGTCAGTACGCCTGAGTGGAGGCTACGCCAGGGCACGGAGACTGGCTGGGGAGCCCCGCAGAGAGTGTGGGGAGGCAGGTGGGTTTTTTTTAGCACCGCCCGAGGGTGTGCAGCCTGTCCTCCGGACGCCGCGGGCTGACCTGCAGTGGGGTGTCTGGACCTGGAGCTGACCCACTGGCCTGGAGCCTCCAAGCGGGAGAGGCCCTTCCCGAGGTGCTGATGGGACCTCCACGTGGTGAGCTGACTATGCCTGCTCTGGCCGCCCCGGCTGAAGTGTGGCCGCCTCCAGCCCAGCCCTCGCTCCGGCGGGCGCCAGCGGAGTGATCTCTGTCCCAAGTCCCCACAGCAGCAGGTGTCCTGCGCCTTATGTGAGGAGACACAGCGGCCAGGTCCCCTGAACACAAGCAGGGCCTCGTGCAGCCCCCGGCAGCGAGGGGCAGCAAAGTGCTGATTCCACGTGAGGCCCTCAGAGAACTGGCGCCGAGAGCTCCAGAGGCCCCAGCACCAGGCAAGCGGCACTGGACAGACCGTACAACTAGCACCGAGTCACCCGAGGTGAACAAACGACAACAGGCCGGGGGAACGAGACACCCGCCACGGACGCCAACAGCAGACACCGCCCTCAGGTGCGGCCACTCGGTTGGCCTTCCCTGTGCAGCAGACTGCGGTCTGAGCACCGCTCGGCGCTAGGTCTGAGCAGCCTCCCCTGTCATCCCAGGAGCGCTCTGTGCTTCCCACTGGGGGGCGGGGAGCGGCGCAGCTCAGCCTCTGTCTCTCACCCGCGGACGGTCAAGTCCAGACCTGCCACCGCCCAGCCTCACGCAGCTTCACCCCATCTGCCCCCGGCCAGTCCTGGAGCGGGCAGCTCCTCCAATGGCCTGAGTGCCAGCCCTGGCGAAGCTGCGGAGCTGTCACCTCCTCTCCTGCGTCCGCACGCCTGGTCTGACGGTGGCGGCACCGGCAGCTCCTTCTTGCCTGTCCCCTCGTCAGCTCTCCACCAACAAGGCCACGATCCCCAGGCCTTCCTTCACAAACAGGGAGCCCGCAGGTCTCCGCCCAACATCAGCTCCCGAAAACAACTCCTGTGTGTCCCATCATGGCTAGCAAGTGTGTGTGGGTATGCATGTGTGTGGGTATGCATGCATGTGGATGCATGTGTGTGGTATGCGTGCACGGGTGTGTGTGTTGGTCTCTCCTGCCTGCCCGCCCTCCTGGACTGTAGTTGCACCAGGGCCCTGACACCCTGTCACGGCGCCTCATGTCCAGCGGACGTGGCAGACACGACAGAGATGGGGGAGGGAGAGGAGGCCGCGAGGCCCTCAGCGTTGGCTCATGCATGTGTGTGGGTATGCGTGTGTGGGTGTGCATGTGTGTGGGTATGCATGTGTATGGATATGCATGCATGTGGATGCATGTGTGTGGTATGCGTGCACGGGTGTGTGTGTTGGTCTCTCCTGCCTGCCCGCCCTCCTGGACTGTAGTTGCACCAGGGCCCTGACACCCTGTCACGGCGCCTCATGTCCAGCGGACGTGGCAGACACAACAGAGATGGGGGAGGGAGAGGAGGCCGCGAGGCCCTCAGCGTTGGCTCCCATGACTGAGCCAGCTGACCAGGCCAGGGCCTTGCCCCTTCCGTGCCAGGAGGCAGCCGGAGGACATGGGAAGTGTCTGCCCTGGGGGGCCGCCCACCAAGCCCAAACTTCCGAGGCAGCACCTGGGGCCTGTGAGGTGGGGGGAGGGGGGCCCTGCACAGCCGCGTGGCGCCAAGACCACACGCCGGCTT